ATACTTAACCTGGTCTTAATACATGAGATCAAACAGCACCCAACAAAAGAACGATGCAAGAAAGAATAACCTAATGCACAGAACATGCCTCGCGAAGTAACCCGAACTCGAATGATCTAAAAACGACACATTGAGTCCAAGCGAAATACGTGATCCAATCAACGCGCTCACATAGGCATCTTGCCCCTATATAATATCTTAACAAATATGGGGTTCTAGATAGAATGCTGTATTCCTCGCTTTATTCAATTCCGAAAAATCTTCGAATATTCTTTGTGGCACGCATAGATTGGACGAGATCTTCCGTGTGAAGCATAAGGCAGCACCATATGATATTTCATAGAGGGATGGGTTGGGGAAGGGAGGTCTGGAAAACCTCAAATTTCGCAAAGTCATCAGCAGTCCCGACCATGAACTTGATCGATGCCGGTTTCGAGCTCGCCCGTCGTGTTAGCTGGTCTCGTTTGGAGGCTGGTCGGAATCTATGCGATGCTAGCAAGTTTACAATCAGGGTGGTTCAAGTAACAAGGAAATATTGTCTATACAACAACTGCTAGCAACCGTGTAGACGTTCTAAAGTAACACTGACAGAGAAACCTAGACGGACTTTGGAAAATCTAACCAAGTTTTCATGGACTCGGGAGAGGTTTTTCTCTGTGGTTGCAGGTAGTCTGTGCCCCCATGTCACTTGTTTCCCCCGAGAGAGGACCAAATACATGCAGGAACACTATTACCACTAAAGTGAATTCTCCTGTACGCAGCGTATTAATCAGTACATTGAACTTATTTAGCTTCTAATCTTTAAGCTTTCATAGCACAGCGAACCTTTGTTTAATATGTTTATAGCTGGTTTGAACTGTACCTCGGTACAGGATACCTTACATACATCTACAAAAACGTAGCATCGTGATAGCGTTAAGAAGATTTATACAGCGTCTAAAGGTGTACAGCGTTTGAAAATGACTGCTTGGGACAGCAGGTCAGGCACAATTTACAAAATAAATCCAATCCCCTAAAGCAATAAGGGAATATTTACTTCAAACACCATTTGCCGACAAATCTATATAAAGAATCTAGCATTTTTGTCCTTAACCGCCTCTTTCAAAGTGTGGTTAGATTGGTGTGTATATAGCCGAACTATATACACTATATAGCCGAACTGTAGAGTTTATTTTATAGCACCGAATCGCTTTGCCTAATTTGTTGAAGCATTCAATGTTGAAAGGATCCATGTCTAGTTTAGCATGAGTGCTTAACCATTGGTGTTCTGTTGGGCGCCGACATGAAGTGTATGAGAACTTCAGCGAACTCGGGGATGAAGGAAGTTTCGAAGCGACTACCGTGGAGGTGTAAAATAGAGGTGATTCAAGCATTTGTTTAGAACTAAACCGACGAGATGCGCAATGTCGAAAATTCGTGCCGAGCTTACACACGGATCGCTGCTGGCACAGGAAAAGAGAACATATACAGTAAACGATAGAGTAGGTAAAAAAAGAAAGAGAACCACGGAGCTATGTGTGTTTTGAACTATGAGAGGTGAGTCTGATGGGTGCGAACTCCAAGGATCTTCAGGCGTCTCTCCCTCTACAGGCTCTGCATAAGTCCCTAAGGGGTTGTTTTACTTTTTTTTTTTTTTTTTTTATACTTTGGCTGTTACTCGATCGTCTCTGTGCCTATTCGCGCTCGCGTCTCTACGCCCCTTGACTGCGGTCCCCAATCGCCCCGTAAACTAAAACGACGAACGCGCGCGTCGAACAACTAAGAGGCAATAGAGTATGTATATGGACCATGCGCAGTTTCTATTTCGCTTATATTCCGACGAAACTTGCATCGACGGATGCTACACCCGATTCATCTTGGTCCTAAGCTCTGGGAACTAAGTTTATGAACTTCTTCACAACACACAGGACAACGTCGTATTCTCTTACCAGTGGTTTCCTACAGATCGCTCGCAGGTTTATTTTTTGCTGTACAATTTTACTTGGGTAGGCACTTCTTGGTACGCAGCATCAATACCTGTAAAAGGCCTAAGCGCTGTTATTAGTAGAGCCTTAAGTTATCAGGTGAGTCCATCTGACATTCTAGCTCCCTTCTCTGTTTAATATAATCGGTAACAGCGCGTGTTAGTGCGTGATGATTAGTTACCTACGTTACAGTTATACCACGGCTACAGTTCCACAACTAGTTCGTAGCACTATCAGCAAAGTTATGGTGGAATAAATTCTCGTTTCCGTAAATACCTATCCCATCTAACCTCCAGCGTCCCTCACACCCCACACATTTGCATTACGAATAAGTACCCGTCCTTAAATTTGGCACTTTTTTTTAATTAGGTTAGGACTATTCTAAAGTCCCCTGACTGACAGTAAACTGGCTTCATTTTAGCCTAACATAAACGTAGCATTAGTTAGCAAGCAAATAGTTGCCAACGGATGTCACTCATTGATCACTAGTGAAATGGCTGCTGGCTAACCTTTACCCCTCGTTGGCAAAAAAAAAATACCCTTCGTGGAGGTCCAGTGCAAACTTTACGACCCGATTACGCACAATGCTTCGAATCCTTTTTGGCGGAATGCCAATCTTTACTTTCAGCTGAAGGGGATACCGTAGCGTTTGGCGCGAATAGATGAATTCACTGGCCGGGTATTCGAGTAGGGTTTTCGTCCGGCCCAAGCGGGCGTCAGTGGGACAGGAACGTGGCGGTCGGTTAAGAAGCGCTAGCGTTCACCGTGTGCAGTCGCTGAATTACCTTGTGCTTGGGGAGAGGTCCATTGTCATTAATCCGACAAACCATTTGTAATTGTAGCCGTAATGAATGGCCACTGCTGCAGCTGGGGCTGGCGCTGTAGTGGCAAAGCAGGATAAGTCAAAAAGCATCATTCCAGCCGTCTATGATTGTTTTCGCAGGCGTGGTCTGTCTGGTGAGCGAGTCACGATGATATATAGGCACCGTCTACGAAGAGCTAACTAGCTGATAGCAGTAGTGTACCATCTTCAGCACCATAGGTATTCAGTAATCGCCAAATGATCGTTTGAATATAGTCAGCTGAAGCCATAAAGATGGGGATATAAGACTAATATATCGTATAGCGACACTTGCAGCGTGATCCAAGGGTGGAGTGCATTCTATCAAGTTTATTGAATGTGTGCACTGCGTCCAAGCGCAATGGACGGATAGTTGAACGCTCTGACTAAGGCTCTGGCATCGTGCATGATAAAAACTATTTGTTGCTGCTCTTCCACAGCACGTTAAAGAACAGGCGCTACTACCTAAATGAGGTGAAGGCCTGAATCAGCTTCGATGTTCTTTTTTTATCCGCATTTGCAGGAGAGAGATAGCATGATTGTTAAGCAGTTAACATAAAGGAAAAACCAGGATCAAGTAATTTGTATGATAGCATTTATGTTGACTTTAACAAGGCATGATAAACGATGCAATATTCGGAAACTGTGTAAAATAATTCTTTTTTCCTTATATAATAGAAGTGAATGAGCGTCCATTTCGAGTTATTATAATTTTGTTTATAGGTACCTTTTGTATTCTACAGGATGCTTCATTTTATGCTACTTCATTGTCCAGGTTAAGCCGATGATAGGGAAGAAATCGGAAAAAGAAGTGAGTGCATCCGAAGCTTCATGGCGCCTGTATTGCATCGAGTTTCAGTGATTAGTAGTTGAGCTCAAAACGCCAAAAACAATCAAACGTTAAGGTTGTTTTTATGAACCGTTCTTCAGTGAACCGTTATTACAGTGACTCTTAGATGCGTCATATGTACATACGGCATTAATGCTATTCAACTGTTATTTCCTTAGAGCTGGAACGGTCCTAAACAAGTTCTATTCATTCGTTCATTTGACATATGATTGTGGAGAACTTAATTTAGTAAAAATTAAGTTCTTGTTAGATACACGTTACTATTTAAAGAGGTATAGAATCACCTTTTAACTTAGTGGCGAAAAATGTTTTTACAGAACGTTATGAGAATGTCGCAAGTGTAGGTCTGCTGCCAAATGCAAAATCTAACCTATAAAATAGCGGCAAATAGGTGGAGCTGGCTATGTCGAAATTGGTCCTGCAGTTAAATAAATTTTGGTAGCAAGTGCAGTACACTGAAGCTATATTTTGAATTAGGTAGTTTTGAGAATAAGTTGGAAAATCTGTACTCTAAACATTCGCTAGAATGAAGAAAAAGCTCAATCAAAGGTTTCGATGAGAAAGTTCTAAGACCCTAGTGAAAACACGAACTACGTGTACCTAACTTGCTAAAGAGAAGCGTATAAGCGGAAATGCTGAAAAACGCTTTTAAAGTAATTAATTTAAAAAATAATTTATTTATATTTTTAGATTTATATTAAGCGTCAGTACGTAAGAACAAGTGCTGATCTTGTTCGAACATTACCCTATACGCTTTTTCAATAGAAATTTCTAATATTTCAGCTTCGTTGTAGCATACGATCCTTTTGTATTTATACAATGTGCACCGATAACATGAAGGAAATACAAGCACCAGCAATTCGAAAGTTTTAAACTCTGAGTCTTATAATCAGAGGATGAAGTATCTACGTTTTATCATCCACATTCCCATCGTAATGATCGTAGAGCACTGGTAAATCTATTTTGTTCTAATAGCCACTATTTTGCTAGTATAGAATTTACTTATTATGTAAAACTAATTCACGTCCTCACTATTCCGCAATTTTTACTTAAATCTTTAATAACTTACATATGCTGTACTTGAGCACACCTTAACAATGTTCGTCTTCCCACCAGTTTCAAAAGAGGAACCGTAGTAGCGTACTCTCCGGAAGCTTTTCCAGTTAGTTCTGATCTATCCTCTATTTCAGATCTGTCCAATAAGCTCTATTAGTACCTAAATGTACAGACACTTGCAGCTACCTAAACATGCTTGAAATAACCACGCTCACTATCGAGTCTTTCTTCTATTATTTACAAAACTTTATTAGTCCACCTTTGTTTTCTTATATTAATTATTATCGATTCCTCTCGCTCCTTTTCTCTTAATATTTTTCACTTTTGCTATACATATATATATTATATATATATATATATATATATATATATATATATATACCTGTTCTCTCAGTGTGTCTTTCCGTGTGTCTCAGTCGTTGTTTGCCTGTCCCTATTTCATCATCACGCGTTCACCACACATAATACTCTCTTTTTTTTGGCGTTGGTTGGTAGATTTTTAAATATCTGTTCTTATCTGTATCACTTTCTATCATCATTGGGACCAGTTTATAACTGGCAGGAATTGTTTTTGTCGTTATGATTCGTTGAGAGCGATTTGGGGTAGGGCGAAGGGGATTTTCGGGCAAGGAGAGGATGGATGTGCTGATTCCGGTTTACAAAACTGCGTTCACTTCCGTGACAATTTCCGGTGGCGACGTATTTGGCGCATTGATTTAAAATGCGTGACTGTCCCTAGTCGACGTAGACTAGGGGTACGGACTAGGCAGAGTTTTTGGCGTGCAAGTCCACACTCGTCATCGTGCCATCGTCAGGATAATATCTCTCGCCAGTTAGTCCGTTGAACGTGTGGCGTTTTCGGTTTTTCCTTCTTTGCTTCGTTTTCATCACTGGCGTTCCCATAATGGCCGATATGTTCTATAAGCAACAAACGCACACACGCACGCTAGCTCCATGCCCTTCGATCTCACAGTATTTGTGCTCGTTAACGGTACTGTCTATATTGCAGGCGAGAGGCTAACGTGACATTGACGCACTCTGTTTCTGCTTTAGGTCTGGTTCGCTCTGAATACGATAGCTATGAAAATAATTATCAAATAGCCACTAATTAGAAGACGCTCTTATATTGGCACCTGTTGCCAGTTAGTTGAGTCGTATACAATTCTCTAATTTTTCTCTCTTCTCGTCAATATGGCGTCAAATAGTATAACAGCTTCTATGTTAATCCAATTATATCTTATATATCGCATGTAGTAGGCTGTGAAATCACGATTATCCAACGAACTGTCCAATGTCAATCTTTACTTTGTTACCTGAAAGACAAATACGTATTCTTTACTTTTTATTTTTCGAGTGGCCAAAACAGGCCGCGTCATCTGCTTGAGGCTGCCTTTATCACTCAATGACACTGAATCATGCAACGAGCCGCGACCTTATCATATTGGTTTATTCTACGCATTCCTAATCTAAGGCTAAATATTGCCAGAGTGATGGGCTTGTGATTAGCGAGACGATGCTCTGCTATCAAACGTGGCTGTTACTTTGCTTCTCTTTCGATTCTATTTGCTCTATTATTAGGTCACAAAGTTGCATAGCACTAATGTTGGTCAACTCATTTTTGAGTATGGTAGCAACGTATGACTCGCACTAGCCGTTTTGGTTTGTTACTAAGAGTCCGGTCGCGTGTCCTAAGAAACAACACCGCATAGGCTGGTACGACAGAGCTTGTGTGCAGCTCTGTGCGGGGGCATCGGAGGGGGATCTATTACAGACTATACATGTTTCTTGTAGATATATTCCAATGTATGCAGGTAATAGTCAGCGGGATTACCGGAAGTAACACAATGACCTATTTCCGGTATGAATGGATTCCCCTTATTTAGCTCCCTGTCGTACAGCCGAAGAACCAAAGCCAGCATACGATATGCCTACCATCGTTACTAATTATTGGAACGATATATCAATCTGTGTAAGATGTGTTTGTGGAGCCTCGATGCTGGCTTCCCTAGGTAGCAGCAAGAGGCGGGAGTTCGGTACGAACCCCCTTAATTGGCGGGCCGGAACCGTTGTTCGCACTTCATTGCCTGCAATCTCGTCATCCTATAGAAACTATCCCACTTGTGAGCTTCGAGTCAGGCCATCGCTAACCGATTCTTCACAACAACTGTGATGAGTTCTAGGAGTGATGAATGTGAAAATCTTCGTACTTCGCTGCTAGAAGAAGCAACCTAAGTTCGATGAATCTCTAATACAACTAAAATATGTGTTGCATTTTCAATCATTTTTGCAATATATCACATGTCCATGCACGCATACAGAATGCTCATATTCAGAGAAAAGCATGCATTGTTTTTCTGTAGAATAGCGTACCTGTTTTAAAGTGCTATGTGGCTATAGCTATCTTCCGATAAAATGGCAGATACTGCGGACGAAAACCACTCTGTTAGTCCATACGCGATGTCCCGGCGGCTTTTTCCTACTGTTTCGTCATTCTGGCGAATGTGAGGCAGTGCAGTGTACAGGAACATGAGCGTCTGTCTACGCTCGCTCTTATTAGCTGTATTGGTTTCATCTGCTTCTACGTTCCGTGACTTTTTCCATCTTGTTATTTCCAGTATTACCGCTATTGTTATTATCGTATTTATATAACCTTATTTACAATTGTGCACGCTTTTCATCGTGGCATTACCGGCAACGGCGGAGGAAGGCGGAAGCTTCAGGGGAAAAAGAATGGCTTCTTCTTTTTGTTGGTTGGATTGGGGAGAAGGGTCATCGTTTGTTGTCACCGGACATGCCTGCTATACAAGTGTACACGAGTTGTGTGCATATACTTGTGATGATGACTAAATCGACTCGTATTTTTACTTCATCCGTTCTTTGTCTTCTGTTAATTTCTTTCTTCTGTCGAATTTGCGTTGTCTTCAATTCGTATCTATTTTATCTATGCTGAAATTGTGTGTTGGTCTTCCTATATTTACACGAAGTGGATTTATTCTTTTTCTACGGCAAATATTGGCACTGCTCAAGTGCGCGCCCAAACCCTCAGTCAGTTAAGTTTAATATAGCCTACAAAACAAAGGCTGACATTTGACAAGTGAGGATGGGCACTAGCTTTTGCTTCAAAGTCATACCGACCACCCAAACCCATGTTTTTTTATTATTATTATTACTGTTGTTATAGGTATCTACTATAGGCCCAGATAGACAGCAGTAAGTATTTGATGGCATTTTCGACGGTTGTTGAAGGTCAATCGGTTCAAAGACCATCACCGTTCCGTTGCCTCCATCTAGTGGGTTATTTAGGCGCGTGTGATGTATAAGGTTTTAAATATTTATACACGCTATCAGCTCAGATGTAGGCAAGGGGCGCACCTGCGGACTTGTACTTTTTTTCGGTGGTTGAAATCGTGTAGTAGTTTACGCACGCTTGACTCATGGGAGGAGATGGCGGTGGCTTGTGACCTTGCATGTTTTGTTGATGCTGTGGACTGGGTGGACCGACCGTCATATAAACATGCTGGTTCATCATTGAATCCATCGGATTGGCTATCAGATACCCCGTCGAGTTAAGAGTGTGCTGACTCGAGTAATAGGACGAACCACTGCTACCGTTGTGATAGGGCGATTGTTGTTGCTGAGCTTGCTGTAGTTGCAAGCCGCCCCCACCACTGCCAACACCTGGCAAAGTGCCACTTCCGAGAGTGCCGCTTTGGACAGCTCCTCCACCAGGACTACCGAAATGGGCCTGCGTTAGATATGCTTGATGTAGATGGTTATGATGCAAGCTATGGTGCATACTGTGTAAGTCAGTGGCGTGATGCACCATAGGCGAGGTCCCAAGTATACCCGCGCCTACACCATCACAGCAAGCTGCTTGCAACTGTTTCGTCTTAATCAGTAATATCTGGGAGCGTCGTCGCCACCATATTGCTACTCCTGCCGCGATTAGAATACCTAACAGACAGGCTGATGCTATACACACAACAAGCATACCACGCTTTGTCGGCCCATCGCAGTCGAGATCGACTTTTGACAAGTTCTTGATGTACTCGTTCTCCAGATGGGTAGGACCGCCGCAGCGGACTGCTGAGCTATTATTGGGGTAATTGCCAATCGATTCATGGAACCTCAAATGAGTCCAAAGCCATTCTACGGAGCAGTTACAAACGAGCGGGTTCAAAGATACGTCTAAAGAGTCTAACTGCTCTATAGGTACAGCCCTTGGTGGGATGAACTGCAAAGAGTTGCCTCGTAGACTGATGTGCTTTAGAACCCGCAGCTGCGCAAAAAGTTTTTCAGGCAGATACTGAAAAAGTTTGTTATTTTCTAATATCACCTGTTCAACATTCGGCGTCCGTGAAAATGCGTCCTCAGCAATGGTCTCAAACGTTTCCGACTGTGTTAGGCTAAATTTCTTTAGAGCTGGCAGGACCCTTAGGTCGTCTGACTCAATTTGGGTAAAGCGATTCCCTCCAACGGTCAATTCCTCGAGTTTATGAAGTTCCGCAAGGCTTGTTGAAGGGAATTCCTCAATTGCATTGTACTGGAGGTTAAGGCCGATGAGCGATACGAGTCCGCTGAACGCGTTGGGTTCAAACGATACAATGCCACACCTGTCTAGATATAGCTCCCGTAAGCGGCTGAGGTAGTGGAACGCGTGATTCGGTATACTTGGTAACAAATTGGCTCCATAGTCGAGCGTGTGCAAATGAGATAGGTGGGCAAACGCTTCACTCGGGATCTCTTCAAACGAATTTGCGCGTAAGATGAGTCTGTGTAAACGCACTAGACCGATGAAGGCCGCAGAGTCGACCTTGACGAGCTGGTTCTGTGATAGGTCCAAAATTTCAAGGTTGCGCATGTCGTGGAACGCCCGAGCTGGTAATGTGCTGAGTGAGTTCCTGTGCAGGTTGAGTTCGTTTAGGTTCTGGAATAGTAAGAAATGTAGCCATTTATTATTACTTTGCTACACTGGGCATCTGTCTTCTAAGCTTTACTTACGAGCAAGTGTCTAATATTGGGAAAACATCAGGTATTTTAAAAAACTGAGCTGCTAGTACTGATGAAGCCTTCCATTGAGTATATTCTTCAAAACTTTTGCAACTAGGTTTGCCAAATATATAGCCTAACCATTATTTTTGAGTTTAGATATATACAGTAATTGATAATAGTAATAATAAACTGCATTCCTATTTATTTACCTGTAATCCCTTAAACGTTTCTGCATTGACCTGTTCCACATAATTGTTTCCGAGGTCCAATCGCTTGAGGTGACGTAAGTGAAAATTGTTTTTGTTGAGGTTCGCCAGTTGATTATAGCTCACGTTCAAATTTTCCAGCTGGGCATAGACGCTGAACGAACCGAGAATATTTTTAATATTATTCCGTGATAAATGGAGCTCCCGCAGGCCTGGATTCAGCGTAATGGGAATCACGTCCAAGGATGCGTCGTCGCAACGGACTGCGAGCTCGTCATCGTTACAATGGCATCGTAAAGGGCAGAAGCCCCGCCATGCCTCAGAGAAGCTGATCCGTTGTATAATCAACAAGAGACCTCCCCAGAGGACCCCGAGGGGTAACGATGAGGCTCGCATCTCCTCCTGAAACGAAGGCAAATGTAAATGGAAGACCAGCACTGATAAGGACCGTATATTTAGGTTAACACAAGTAATAACGACTATAAACTAAATTACGTCATATAGTAGTTGTACAACTTATTTGCCTGACATTGCATTAATATGCATTGTAAGATATAAACATTTGCTTTGTTCTATAAGATATCACCGTGATTCGACTAAACTTGCTAGATATAAATAGATTTTCATTCTACCTATATAAGTCCAATAAAAGTCATCATCATTAAACTGTTCTCACAGGTTTGCCGCATGCAAGAGCTACAAACTGGTGGCACACCGTAATAGGTTAGTTGTGACAGAGTCAGAAACCCCCAGTGTTTTGAAAGCAAACAGGCCAAATTTATGGCCTGTAAATGTCCGTTTTCCGTGAATTTCATTTGAGAGATTCATGCATAATTCACATGTGGATATAACTAAATACTGCAATTGCAATTCTACAGCATGATCGTATTATCACTCATACGCAACGATGGAAGCATCAAAACGCACACCGGGCATTCTGACTGATTTAGTTATTTGTTTTCCCATATTTTATCAATTTTCTAAATAGATTACCTTTCTGTAACTAAATAGCCACTTATATTGGTACCCCTTTTTCCGGCTCATCCGCTTTAGAGAAAGGCATACAATTAGCACTAGTATTAATCTTGACTTATCATCCTGTCAGTATCCTGTTCCCTGGCGTTATGCCTATTGAGGCACTTGTCCTCGCGCCGGATTACTGCATGCACGCAGAGGTATGGCGGCACGATGATTTCGGCCTTGTACATAGTCCTTCGTAAAGGTGCTCCCTGGTACTGACCTTCAGCATGTATTTGTGTAGACATTAACGTAGGGTTGCCGCTTTACATACATCAACACCTGGATAGCTGGATTCTTTTGCTACTATTGTTGTTTTGTGAACAGGAACTCGAATGGAGAGTCACAGACGACCCGGGTTGAGGGCGGTAGTCCAGGAAACTCTAACAATGTTGTTGGTACAATTCGGGTCAAATAACCTATTATGTCAGAGGAACGGGTCTACTGTGAGGACATTGGTCGAAACGTCCGCGTAACATGTACGATATAACGCTATACTGAACTATTGTAGACGCGCCCAATTCCCTGGGGTGTCGAGAGCCCATTAGCGTAGAGGATTGGCTTGATACATATTTCAAATGACTGCCGACAAAATATTTACGATGCTCTTGCAGCTATTCAGCGTATTACATTTTGTCAGCCAAATCGTCGATAATGGATCATCCTACATAGATGGTGATATTCAATTTTATCACATGTACTGTAACATGTATCTATTATAATTTCTAATCTAAAAGCAATGTCGCCTAAGCAAGACAACGTATTATATGTTACTTCTGTTTAAAAAGTCACATTAGGGGCGTGATTGCCGTTGTGGGATGCGTGACGAAAATGGACTCTACATGATCTTGATTTGAAAAGCTTGTCGTAACTACAAAAAGAAAGAGGGCTATATTTAAAAAGAGTTGGATGACATGAGAGGGCATATCGAAGTCAATCCGATGAGTGCGTGAGGTTAACGATCATCTTCGAATGCAGTAGCTTTTCCTTCTGCTGCCTAGCAACACTTGCTCGGTCGTTGCTAAGCAGCTGTGTTCTCCTGGATCATTAGGTTCTAGAGAAGCTAGTGGCGGCGTAATAGTCCCTGTATACTGCATGCATGAAAAACTTTCTGGGGACGAAGAGCACGTGATAAAAGTAGTTCGTGGCTGGCCCCCTTATGCATTATAAGGCCTTTATCGACAATATGAGATTTGGTGGAAAGTAGTTCTCAAGAGCTGTAAGTAAAAATATGGCCAACAGTGATTCGGTTATGTGTAGTCCATGGTTGGCTGCTTATGTATTCGAAAGGTTCTTTGCCTTACGTTGTTACGGGAGTACCACGAAACGCTTGTAGCTAAGATCTCAATTAAGCCCGCTGCGAATATATCGTGAACTAATTTGATAGTACAACAATGTTTAATTATTGACGAACTGAGATTTCGGCTCGGACAGAACAGCGAAGAAAAAAAACTACGTTTCCATAGCAGCTGCAATTGATGTCTTGTTTCGCTCTCTACCTGTTTTTCCTTTGATAAGTAGACGCATTAACATCTCATTGACTGAAGTTATCAGACTTTGGATCAGTTGTATAATTCACATCATTCCCATGTGTCATTGTAACGTCTGACCTGGACAACTAGCTATGCATTTTGCAGGACCTTGATACCTAGATGCCATTGGGTACCAATGCATCCAATACCTATATGCATGTATATATATATGCTTCATCTACTAATTCGCTTGACTTGAATTTCGTGTTCATGGGACATTGCGCTGTGTATTTATAAATTTCAGTGAGTGGCTCTGTGAACGAAAGTTGGCGAGAGCATCGCGTGGTCAACAGCGTGCTTGCGAGAGGCTTATCCCCCCCCCGGGGGGGGGGTGCACTGTGTGACGAAAACAGTTTACTGCGTAATGATTCGATTGCGTGCGTTTTTCCATCGCGTATTATTTGAGCGCCTAGTGCGGAACTATGCGTCGCAGCGAATTTGAAAAAACCCGCTCGCCGTTAAGCTCTCGGTGCACCGAGAACCTTCGGTGATTATGGCCATTTGCGTAAGCAGAGAAATGCTTCGTATACAAAGTAATCATTGTTGCATGCAGCGGGTTTCGGAGACTCGGTAGTTCTGACAAGACAGGGCTACATTCACTAAATGCATAAGTGTTTCAGCGACTAGACTGTAACATCCGTTTGTTAGCACAGACAGGTCCTGAATGTAGGTCCTGAAAACACTGTATCGGCTATGTCAATTACCGAGAAAACATCAAATGGTCATCTTCGCAAACAAACCACTAGAGGTATTCGATGTAGAAGGACCGTCCTTTTTTCTATCTCTTGCAGGTCATATATTTTAGATCCCTGAAAGTATTATGCCATCCGTCATGCCAAGCGGGATCTAAAATGGTGCAATAGGCTACTTGAGTTTGGAGAACTACACGGCTTATGATCGAGATCGTTTACTGATTACAACCAGGATCAGCAGATGATCTCGATACAACCAGGACCCCTTGACGTTGAACCGCATTTATTGTATATTGCTACATCACTAAGGCTGTCTTCCGGTGGATTTCATGGATAAGTTGTTCGTTTATGACTCATTGTTTATTGTTTGGATTCTTTACCTAAAGCTTAATTCTCTGCATAACAACATTGTATATGCATAGGCCTTTGACATAAAATTGAGGTAAAAGTGCTTCTGTTCAACTGAAACTCAGTGATTTTCAGCGTGTTAACACTAATAACGGTTTTAACAAAGATATCAAATTTGATAAAAGGTGTTGCATAGAACATATTGCATCAACAGATTTACGTTAACAAAATACATTACAAATGTGTGATTGATACGACCCATCTCATTTATGTCAGAGGACGAAATAAGGTTCGATCCAGATAAAATAGAAGTGAAATTCTTGTAATCTCCCGTACTTTCAACTGTTTATTTTACCAGCTCAATTCAAGCGTCAGCGCTAAAACTGCCGAAATAAAGGTTTTCAGGACGCAGGAGCCAGTATCGTTTTAGTGTGGATGCACGAATCGTCGCATAAGTTCATCTCAGACCTGTAAAACATAGCCTACGAGGAAATTTCAAATTTGGCTCCCTGGTGACACTTTTGAGTGGTAGGCTATTTCTAAATCACATAGATTATTCTACAGATGCAAATTTCGTCATGCCTATTTATTTATATTAGAAATTTTCTTGCGGAAGTTTCACCCTGTCGTTACGTAGCATTATTTATGTTTCGAGTTTTACGTTCGGTAACGCCGTTACGTATTCCATTAGACGGCTGAGCCCCAAACAAAGATGGGTTCGAACCTAGACCACAACGTGTCCCTAAGATTAGCAGGTAAATACGTTACCACTAAGCTATCACAAACATACTCATTTTCTACAAAGACATTGCGTTGCCAAACAGGTCTGGAACGATTGGATGCCTCCCAAACGAACGTTGATGAAGACCAATCCCGGACCAAGCTCGGTACGGCCATTATAATGTAACACTCAACACTGTATTACGCATCATTCAAACAAAAGCACAGGTTCCCTCGTTTTTTTTTTGACTTCGTTAAAGACCGCCCTTTTGAGGATGCTTGTCAAGTGCTATTGTTTAATTTCAGCATACCTTTCCTGAGCTTCGCTTGAGAAAATCTACGATAAAGCATATCATTTTTTTGTTTACCTATATGTTATTTTTGCTTTTCTAATGTCATAATCATAGAAAACATTATTAATACGCCGAATTAAGTCTTGTGGAATTTTATACTCTCTTATGTAGAACACAAAGCGTCTGTGTTTCCCTATCGGTCACGAACTTCATGGTTACACAGCTCAGTGTATCGTTGAGGCAATTTTGCCATGTATAGCAAGCATTTGTGCTCTTCAATATGAGGTCGTTGCATAATCTGAAAGTTTAAAAAATCCAGAATATCCAGATAGGTCTAACGCTGTCCAGATTAGAGAGTTAAAGTACTTCAACCTTTGTGACAATTTTTAGAGGTGGTATTAATTAAGCGTGGCTTAATAGTTAGGGACAGAAAGTGATCCGAAAATTTTGTATCTGTTTTGTGCGTGGCGTATAAGTAGTTGGTAAAAATTTCATCTACAGCGTCAAAATTCAGCATGAAATAGGTTTTCGAGAAACGGGCTTATGGAAATTTCTTTGGAAATTTGGATACTGTATTTTCTTTTCTATTTCGCATGTCGTATAGCAATGTTTATTTGGAGACAAGCGTAAATTACTATTTTATTAAACATTTCAGAATGGAAGATTGAAAAAACATAAACGAAGTGACATATTGTCAAGGGCTGGTAGTTGAATTTGTCGTAAGCTAGAAAACTGGTTCAAAACTCATAATCGTATTGAAACAATAACATTTAAAAGTGCCACGAAGTTCTATAGGCTTCGTTGTCATATGCTCTCTCTATATCTTATAGTAATACAATAATGAAAGCTAGCTAAAAATATGCTCTCAAAGGGCAAATCTCTTCTATCGGTTGCCTCGATAAAAAAACACCTTATTTTTGACCTTGCTAGACCTGATGCTCCTGTCTGGCTGAGACGTTGGTTGCCTATCAGGCCCTTGGGGGCACATTGACGACGCTTCTTTCAATTTGCAACTTTCAGTTTCAGAAGCGATCTTACTTGTTTCGTTGCAACTTCTTCCGACAATGTTTTCTTCTTAGAGCGTCTTCTCACATCCACAGTCAGGGTTCGCTTAATTGATATTCTCCTATCGTCTTTGCTGGACATGCTAGTTATGTCTGCTTCACCCTGAAGATGTGAGTAGGGCCCAGCCGCTATGTCGAGCTATTTCTGCTTCAACCAAACCTTCGGGAGAGGAAAAAATTAGATGGGGTGTTGAATTGGAAAAGCCAGTCAGAGCAAGCAGAGCAAATAACACGTAAGCAGCATAAACTAAGCTGCCTCTGTACACGAAATCGTGCTCGCTTTCAGCCCAAATTTTGTTGGCTCGTCTGTCATTGTGAGCTGCACTTAACAATCTTGTTGGCACTGGCTTCCGATAACCCAATGCGATAAACAGCATTCCTTTGTCCAGTACTGCCCGACTTGCAGAAAATTTGGTGTCACCTTGCGCGCTTTTCTGGGGTAGTAGCAAACTGACCCACTAATACGCTGCCACGGTATAGATAGCAAGTGAACGAAGTGGCTGGCGTTACCACATCGATCCTGTCATCACCGCTTCCGAGCCTTTCGCTAGAGGTATTGGATCGGAGGAAATTTGAAACATTCTAGCAGAGTTTGGGCGTAGCGATCTCTGGTTGTTTAAGGGCGTGGCTGGAGGTTAGTGAAACCGTGTACAACTGAAGTAACTATGCGGACCTTATATTTTCTCCTTTATGCCGAATATGACTTGTATATCAAACCAAGCAGAACAGAGATTGACTCGTCATAGTATAACCTCCACCGGCAAGGCTACCTGACGATCTCATGGGGGTTCTGGTAGTATGATGACTCATATGTGGTTAACAATATCCAGACGAGCAAATACGTCGTAGGCCAACACGACTTGCCGTAAGAAAGACATGATAATGTCATGGATACGATAACAGTTCCATATAGTTAGGTTAGGGGTTAGCAGGTTAGCATCATGCTCAAGAATTATGTCAACTGTGAAATGACTAATTCGAAGTAAAACGTAATAATAAACTAACACGAATCTCAAAGTTCGGTGCCGTCTGTGATGCAATATAATAAAATGGGGTATCCTTGGCTGTAGAATTTTTTGTTAGAAGTTTTCGTTAAATTTAGCTACAGTTGACGTTCAGCGCCACATTTGATGACGCACGCATTTGCATGACCCATTACCTAGGTTAGCAGACTATGCACGTGACGAATAAATGTAAAAATAAGCATAATGGTTAGCCGTTATTTTTAGGTGCACTCATACGTGCAGAGGACGAAATCCGCAATACGTTACGACACAATGCGTTTATAGCTAGCTAGCTATATTACACTGAATTGTTAACCCATTTAAACGTTTCGGGTCGTTCATCCGGAAGTGTCGTTAACCGTTGCATTGTAATTGTCATTTTGCCCTTCGTAAGCCTATTACTTTCATTGATAATTATCCTTGATAGCAATATCTTTTTCTATAGTTCCGGCAAGAGGCCTTTAGGAATCAGTAGAAAATCAAATTGGACCAGCGCTTAGAGCGCAGGTATTACATCTTCAAAGTTCTACCGCTTTTCGCCTAGTATTGTCTCTGAATATACCGCGACATGATGTTCGTTGCCGAATACTTTGAAGCAGATTACTAGCCTTGTGTTACGCTGTTCTATAAACAATAGAGGACTCTAATATACTTTCACTTGGGCTCGCCTTCTTCCACAGTTTGTTTTCGCCTCGCCTGCATGCACGATTAAAGCCGTTGAATCGTTCTGCCTGACGTTGCTCGGCGCCTTCCTTTCCATCCAACCGGAGCCATTTTCCTAATCACTTCTGTCTAAAATCCGTCGTTGGTCGCGCACACTCCCACATATACACATGTGCCAATATTCCGTGTCTGTCCGACCCACACAATCGCACCCAACTATCTATCCCTCACGAGCCTGCCTTTCTATGAAACGTTACTCTCCATCGCGCACGGTCGCCAAAGCGCCATTCGATTAGAAAGACGGCGAAAGCTTCGTTTGTGTGTATGGGTTATTTGGAGTAAAGGCTTTCTGACACGTTCCGGAAGTCAGTACGACGACATTTGATTTTCACGTTTCATCGTCAACGCGCCAAGGCTCTGTCTCTCCGCTGCCACGGCTGTAACGGGCGTCCTTCTTTTTTACACGTTTCCGCTGCCGCTAGCGTCATTGCTTCTGACGCATTGGAAGGCTTTGTTGAGAAGGTTTCTTCTCTTGCTATGGCCTTTTTTGCTTCACGCCTGTATTCCACTTAGCTTTTCCCTTTTTTGCGCTCTTTTTCCTACTACTCTTTCCTTTACTTGCGCTCGACGCTGTTCATTCTCTAACGGGCTCTGAGCTTGGCGAGAAAAACTGAGGGTAAGTCGGTTGCTTTCTCTCCCGCTCAGTTACAATAGGGACATTGACAGGATCGAGCGTCGAGCCGTTGGAGACGCCGGTGAAAAGCACGCTGTACGCAACACTACAAAGAACTGTTTCTGTTTCTGCCGCGAAAGACGGCATAAACGTTTTTCCTAGTCAGTCTGCTGTCACACTCTCGTTCTAACGTTGTTCAGCTCTCATTTTGCTATCTACCATCAAACCCATTCGTTGTGTCCACACCATGTCCGTTTTTGACAAGCACTAGGCTGTAGGAATATCGCCATAAGTTCGAACCTACACTTACGGTCAATACAACTGCGGCACCAATGATACATGGTTTTTTCAAAAAAAAAAAAAAAGTGTTTTGCTTTGATTTTCATCTTTTTTTTATTAAAGAAAATGATGCAGTAGCATCAGCAAATGTGAACAGAACGGACATTATTGTGAATGATGCGGAAATGTGTTGTGTCTAAACGCGCCGTATTTGGACATCCGTCTCATACCATTCACTATCTAAGTACCGGGAATAATAGAGTCCTTATAAACAGGCTTATAGCTAGAATTTGAAATTTGACCTAAGCTAGCGAAATAACAATTTGTGTTTGCAACTTAGTAAGTTAATAAACTCATGAGGAACAAAGAAAACTTTTGCAAACGATAACATATAGTAAATACATATTTGTCTGCCATTGCCGTCAGCTATAATAGTTAGCAATAAAACACGCACGTGTGTACTATTAACAGCACTAACGAAAACATTTAAAGCATTGCGATCTCTTATACGTTAACAAAGGCCATTTTGAATGCGCAAATGGGTCGTGGCATCGGGTATCAGCTTCGAAATAGTGAACCATATAAGCCCTATAAATAAAAAGATAAATAGCCATATGGAGCGCTCCTATCGATTTCAGTAGAACACGCAACTGACATAGAGTTACTACATATGCAAAATTGAAGCTAAACAATATGGTAGATGGATGATTAGTGAAACTTCTAAAATAACAAAGACCTTTCTGGCTATTTTTAACCTAAGATCATTTGCTTTATTTACTCCACTGAATATAGACCCAGTTAATAAAATGGCAACACATATTCAGTCATGTAAGGTCACTCATGAATCAGGAACGTTATCCGTTGCAGTTTTTACTCGGTAAATTTTTATGTATCATGATTCCGATTGGAATTTTCCTTAGTTTTCTGCCATGTAACGTCACCCAGAAGCATTGGGGAGAGCTTATCAACTTCAAGGACACTTGTAAAGCAAAGTAGGGTTTTGCAAGGGCAGACCAGATTTGGTTGCTTTTCTCTTTCGGCCTTCCTCAGTTGGTCGGGCTAGAGATGTTCATTGGGTCTTACCTCTAGCGACGCCTACACGGGCGGATGTTCAAGTAGTATTGGGCTCATCCTATCCTGGCTGGCCGGAATTCTGCTTTGGCGTCCTCTCCTAAAAATCGAGTAAGCAAACACGAACGAGCAAAAGCGATGAGTTTATGGTAGTCAAAGAATGTTGTTCCTGGTAGGTATAAATCAAGGCGACACTAACATAGGCCCTCGATTCAAGGCCCGATATATAATTCTGCAGACGCAGAAAAAGAGAATCAAAGAATTAAAAAGTCGCCCGTCCTACACCTCGCTATTGACCTTTCTAATCACCTTGAATAGATGAATATTGAGACACGTTTTCATCTACATAGTCACACGTATGAGCTATAGGCCCGGTTGCTGTCTCCTGCGCTATTTTTGTCTCGACAAAAACAAAGCCACACGAGAAGTACTATATATAGCGGCCCTTGCCATATTACTACGGTATTCCATCACTACTACTTGCATCACGACTACCATCTACCACGTCCAGCCCATGAAAGCGTATGAACGCATATCATCAGTCTACTGCTAATAAAACTACGTAGAGGAAAGTAGTTCGAAAGAAGCTTTTAATTGGTGGTGCTATCCAAGAAGTCGGTTTTGGCTTGGGCTAGGTAGAAGAACGAGGAGATAAATTGGAAGCGAGAAGCTGTAGTCGCTGCGTAAGCGTGCAAAGGTCGCCGGACGAAGTGCAGGGAGCAGAGAAAATGGGAGTGAGGAGGAGGTATTCGAAGAGATCGGAAATGTATATGAAACTTTACAACAGGAGCCTACGCAGGTGCGTTTCCAGTAGCCACGCAGCAGGCCGTTCGCCTCGAACCCAATTATTATGGGAAAATTTTCGCAGCCTTATCTTCGTTCACTTGTATTAAACTGGCCTAGCCTAATGCAACCGTTAGAACAACACAAGTTGCTTAGGTATATGCATGTATACGCTATACAGCGGTGTCTAACCTCGTTTGGACATACAGATGGATGGACGGGCGGGCGATTGGCAACATTCATAACTCATGCGCCCTCTACATGAATAAGTTTATTCGTGTGTGCTTTAGAGAGGTATGCCCTTAGCGGATCCTGTGAAGCCAATTTGGACCCTCCTCATCGCATGCACGAATTCTTGCTATTGTTACTGCTATTGTCGTTACTAAGAGCTGTGTCTGCATTCAAACGTAACGCGTTTTTCCTTTGTATCTGTGTGGTGATTATATTTGAGAGTATAGTTAGAGTTTGTATTGAAGAACCAGCTTCCATTCAAAGGACATTAGGTAAATTTTGGGATAGCCAATCAAATACGTTTGGTTTTTAAAGCAATTCTTTTGGCGAATTTATTCCATTGCGATATAAGCTGAAATATACAACGACCAATGTTCTGAAAGCTAGAATATAGTTTGGGAATTTTTAGTTTCAAGCCTCCATGACTTTGCGTGTCCGCCTTTCCCTTCGCTATCACATAGGATGGAGTGAAGCTTGCATGGCAGGGATATATCCGTACGAGGTGTTGAAACAGCCTTGTGTGCTTAAGGCTTAGCAATGTCCCTTATGCCACTTGCATAGTAGCCGAAATTTGGTAAAGGAAAGCCGGCACAGTTCCCACGTGTGTTTCATCATAAAGAGTTTCGTTTGTCCTTCGCAGTTCAGGTACATCGGTCCATTACAGACTTAGAGAGCCAGTTTGCTTCGTCATTTTGCCTACCTCTTTGCCCTTGCTCTCTTGGCTTTCTTTCATTCACCTTCCAACCAGCCTTATCTAGGTTCAGGTTTTAACCAATCCAGCAGCGCTAAATTGACTTACTCAAAAACCATAATAACTAGGCGTTCATTTTAAGTTTCTCTTTATCATCGTATAAGGAGTTTACCCTCTGGTGACTACGGAAGAATCTGAAGGTCAATGTTTCTTTTCTTACTCATCAACATCCGCTCTTTTCTTGTCGACTCTGCTCACCCATAAAAAGATCCCCGATTTTTATAACTTTTGCCCTCTATACACGTGTCCACTATAACCCTTTTGCCGCCACCACCAGCAGCGCTTTCTCTGCCGAGGCACCTTACCGCCGGGCACAGGGTGCGCATGACATCCGTCAAGGGGCAGTACGCGGCCCAGCGATGAACTTTCGCAAAGTCGGAGGATTCAGTATGGGCAATTTTTCACAAGGGAAAGTCGGGCTGCTGTGGATATCTGCTGCAGATGCGCGGCATACCGTCTGAAGGCTCAGATGACAAAGCGCCCCCTACAGAGCCTTTTATTTTTTCACCTTAGTAAACAGGCTCATATACTAGCAGAGTCTTTTGCAAAACTGGTTTCTTTTACAGAAGTTACCACATAAGGCGTGTTTCCGTCTCGAGTCGACCCGCTCAACAAAATCAGGACCCCTTTTGCATGCAATACTAGGTAATCAGACAGGGCATAGATAACAAATGCCTGCTTCTTACTAAACTGTGCCCTACCTATAGATGACTATCGTTTTTGTTGATTCAATTCATGAAAATATTAATATAAATGAATAATGTTAAGTCAGTAAGCTTGGCCATATACCGCTATACATCAGAAGCTCTGCAGTAACCTTCGCCACTGATAAGAGGTGATTCATTCAAACTTCTTTTTTCTCTTTGCTTAAACAACTAGCGTCATTTTCGTCAGTCGGTTCATTGCCATTGCTAATAACTACGCCGACAGTGCGGTGGCCCATCTCTACTGATTTGTGTGTCACACAACAACCATATGTGCTCAAAACATCCTCTGAGCTCGATGCCTCTTAACAGGGTGACCGTATAGCCGTCGAAGTCGTCGTCTTTTGGTCGCATCGACACATTCATCGTATACAATGTTAGGTCTAGAACTCTCCCGCACTTGGCGCTGCCGTTGAAATACGTGCAAGCACGTCGGTTAACTCTGGGTGTACGTCGGGTCGAAAGGAGGATAGATGAAAAGTGTTGCGATCGCGGAGAGGTTACATGGCAAAGGCCTCACGTCGGTACCATTAAGGGAGCTATTGAGAAAGCAAATGTTTCCGTTAGTTAGATCGCCGAGGCGTGGTTCACTTTGTATGATACGCCACATTATGAGATAGTCATCGAACGAGGCCGCAGCTTACTGCCCCCCGACGTTTCGGGAAAACTTCCCCCCGGGACGAAGAACCAAGAGATTTCTTGCATCGTTACGCGTGTATGAGTATAGTGACGGCGGCAGTGTACTACTATGTAAATCGCGATAGCAAAATAGGAAAGCACCGAAAATGGCGACAATGGAGAAATTATTCGTATGGTGTCGTAAAGACGTATCGTGTGCCGGATGGCAACGAAGGCGAAATGAAACTCTTCTCCGCACATATTCTTTCAGTGTTCAATATTTCTTACACAGACGTAGCGACAAAAAATCTGATTTATTTGCCACCGACGCTATGAAAAGACGATTCTAGACTTTATTAATCCCACCAATTTTATTTCGTTTCGGATGGATACATACCCTTACTGGCTGCTCTGTTCTACATTTAAAACGCTCGTGCCAAAGTACGCGCAGAGCTCTTTTTTCCTTCGATACATAACCACCACTGACATCATATTCACCAGAAATCAAGCGCGTTCGCAATTTTCAGCCATTCCCGATCGTGTAAGCAGCGCAATGTATACGACGCGCTCTCAGATGCACGAAACGAGGGTGTAGGAAGAGATTCTAAATAAAGACTGCTTCCATCTACAAGCAGCTTTGCTCTCTGCGAATGTGCTTCCATTGGAGCAGGCAATTAGTGAAAACTATCATTAAAATGGGCACTGACTTAGACAAGAAAGTGTTCATACTATTTAAAAAGACATACAGCTAATGCTTAAGGGCTGTCATTGGACGGCGCCACGCGCCTCAACGCATTGTCGGAATAAGTTCGCACCCGGCTTCGCTATCGGGTATATTGTACAAACCTTAATCGCCAGACATATATTTCATAGAGTTAATCTTTTCCGAGAGGCAAAAAAAAAGCTAGACTAAGTGCAGGCGCAACGTTTCCTTGGGCCATGAAAGAAAAACGTTGAAATCTGTAGGGTGATCGCAGCGTAAAGTTGTACTTCCCCATTGGCTCGGCAAGTGTACCTCAAATGAGCTGGCTATACTATTGAACTCGTCTATCGTTAGGTTTAAAGTAAAGAACGCGCTAGTTTAAATCGTGTAAAAGTCAAGATGACGTAATTTTTTCATTTATAAAAATGGTTAATGATATTTCCTTCGCGGTGTTTGTATTCAACTAGTTCCATGAGCGATGGATGCTATTAAGGTGAGCACAAGAGGCAACTGTTTCGCGCTTTAATTCATCAAAATGATTAGGACCAGATCGCTTGAGAGCAAGTTAAATGAATACACTGTTTAAAATGAAGGTTTTCATACTGTGTACATGATTATCAATTAATCCTAATATGGAAAAAGAAAAATGTTAGATTATTCCGACTATTTTCCAATACAACGACGGTTAATCCGATCAGGTTAGCGGAAATGCGCAAACCGTATCGAGTGCATGCATATTGGGTGCATAGCGGAATTCCGCCGATACAATTGAACGAGCCAGCGATGATTGAATACCAGACAATACCAACTACTCCTCACAAAGGGAATGATGGACACAAGCCATGACACTAGAAAAACAATGGGATCCAATTTGCAGAGTTCCTCAATCCTCTTCCAACGTAATTTGGATTATAAAAAGAGAGATAGCGCCGTCGGCGCAGCTTTCGCATTTAGAGCTTCGAAATCTAGAGCTCCAGTCGGCCCTTGCTCCAGACATGTCAGGCCGTTCGACCATCCAATCAACATCTATAGTTGATCACTGGACAACGAAGTCGTCCTTGAATTGGCAGTTGCCTCCTGCTAATCCTCCCTCTCTGGTGCTTTCCCCTGCTGAACTTTAACGCGCGTTCATATCTAATCGTTCATCCATTGAGCAGGGCTGGGGCCTAAAAATAACGTAAGGACATACTCTTCACTTCAACTTGACCAAGCAACGAAACTAGGAAATGGTAATTTTAACGATCAATTTGTCGCGACATGCCGTGTCTGGGTGGCAGTCACTGGGCTTTTTAATTCGACGAGTCCACATT